TAAAGTCCAGAAAGACCATATCCACTGCTACCCCTACATCTAAGGATTTGGTGACCTGGTCGTAGAAGGCCACCAGGTTGGTTTGACAGGACCTGCCGCTAATGAACCCATGGTGATTGCCCCTAAGCATAATCTCCCCTGCTGGTCCCTCATCGACATGTGCCAGGATAATTCTCTCAAAAAGCTTACCCCAGGGTCAAGGTAAGACTAACTGGCCTATAGTTTCCAGGGTCTTTCTTCCTCCCTTTTTTGAAGATGGGAACCACGTTGGCCCTCTTCCAGTCCTCTGGCACCACACAAGAGGACCACGAGTGCTCGTAAAGCTATGCCAGGGGTCCCGCAATGACCTCAGCTAATTCCCTCAGCACTCTGGGGTGGAGATCATCTGGACCAGCTGATTTAAATACATCCAGTCCCTCCAGAAGTTCTCTGACTAGATCGTTATTGACCCATGGCCTAGGTGCGCCTCCCCTGGGGCCTGAGGGGGGCCCAGTGGGGGGGCTGATCTGCTCCCTGCTCAGGAAAATGGAGGCAAAGAAGTCGTTAAATATGTAAGCTTTGTTGTCTGGCATGACGACCAGATTTCCTAGCGTGTCTTGCAGGGGCCCCACATTACCCGGTACCTTCTTTTTGCCCTCTATGTATTTAAAAAAGGACTTCTTGTTGTCCTTGATCCGGGTAGCTAGTCCTAGTTCCATCTCCACTTTGGCCTTCCTGACTGCCCCCCTTCAGCCCTAAGCAAATGCAGTATAGTCCTCCCTGGTGATGGCCCCTCCCTTCCATTGGGTGTATGCCTCCCTTTTAGCTAGGAGACATTCTCGGATGCTTTTGGTGAGCCGTGGGAGGTGGAGCAGGTCAGAGAGCACTGGCAGGCACGTCTGACCACAAAGGGGCATCAGAGGCTGGGGAGGTCAGATACCTTGAGCCTGTTACAGAGGGGTTTTGGTTTTGGATTTGGTGGGGAAGGAGATTGGGGGTTATCTGTTTATTTGTTTGTTTTTTACAACAACAGCATACCAATGACTTTGGATTTTGGTTGGTTTGGAAGGAAACTTGCACTACTGAGCATGGTACTTTAAGGGCTCAGCTTCCCAGAGAGAGAATTTAGATACTGTGAAACTCTTGTTATATACAGTCATTTAGAACTGGACACAAAATAAGAGATCTCTTGCAGGAACCTTATGCCATAAAGGCACGTCTATACTGCTAACTCGGTGTGCCAGGTAGCACTGAGATGAAAGATGCTATACTGCTCTGCCAGCATTACCTCCCAAACAGGAAACAATAGTTTGTTTGGGCTAATTAGTTCTGTCATTTGAGCTACTCAGCCTCAGCACAGCACCATGTGAATGCAGCCACACTGCTTCTGGTTCAGGAAGTAGCAAATGTGGAACAAACAACAAAGCACATTTCAGCCTAACCCTGCCTCCTGTGGTAAATAAGCAGTATGAATAAATAAATCCAGGACCTTTGACAAAGCCAGTAATTTAAAATTAAAACTCATGCTCATTTTTAGGGCAAAAGCAGAATTGCTTCTGTTTACATATCTACATGGTTTAGGTCCTGCATAACTCAAAGGCTGCCTTTCTCCCTATGCGTTACCATGGCAGTTCAGATTAGCTGAGGTTGCTGAGGAAAGGAAATGCAATTCAGTAAAGGGCATATGTCTCTGTAACTTGCCTTCCAAGACATGAGTTTGCTCCATCGCCCACAGACCTCATCTGAGAAGTGGGTAGTGGAAAGTTGATGTGGACAGGTCTATAAAACTCATTTGTTATATTCTAGATAGGGTGGACGTGTATCCCAAGGCTCAGAAAGGACACTTTGTTTTCCCCACCCTCACACTGCTCTCAGTCAGCTGTCTCCAAGCTCCAGTGTCACCTGAGCACACCAGAAAGCCAAAGGGAGATGGAGAGCTGGAGAAGGAGAGGGAGGCTGATAAACGGTCTCATTTCACCAGGACAGTCTCAATTTAAACCCCTATCTTGAACATTTCACTGAAACCAGGACAAAAAGCATTCACCTAACCAAACTGATGGGACACCTGACACAGCTGTTTAAAATCAGACTGTCCTAATGAAAATAACATGTATAGTCACCCTAATACTGGGTACTGTTTAGCATATAAGGTTTATGACTGGCTTTTTATTTACTTTTCTTTATTCATCTTAAATGTAGTTTAGTCTCCTCACTTTTGTTCTCTCTTCAATCCCAAGATATTTTCTCTTATTTCTCTCTAGTTTGCTTATTTCTCAATACATACATCAAGCGACTGGCCAAGCAGCTCTTACACTTTAATGCAAAGGGTTTGGGCTCTCAGAAAAAGGTCTTTTTTCTGAAACTAATGTTGTCTAGATAAGAACAACGAACTGTTCGATTTGTATTTGTTCTCTTACAGTTCACATTGTAAGGTCGTACTGAGTCAACACACCAATGAAATGTAAGTATACTTTTGTTTAAAATAATTTTCTTTTTAGAGAGTGCATTTGTATTTAAAATCACAACCAACTTCTCAACAATAAAACAGTTTAGAATAAGTTAAGATGTAGGTTTCATACCTAGCTTGGTGAATAGCTTCTACCCATTCATCCCCATCAGTTTCTTCTTCACAACGGAGCTCCAGTGGCTTCTGACCTTCATGGCCAAAGAGAACAGTGAAGTAATGCTGCAAATTTTAAGGAAAAAAAGGTTTTAAAAATGCTACTAAATAAAATATAGCATAACAACCTACCATAAAATGTTAAAAATCTCAATATAGCTAAGACATAAAATTACAAGCATCTGGTTTAAACTGGCAATGAGCCACGCAGGTTGAAGACAAAACTATATCCTGAATGTATGTTACTGTGCATTAGTATAAAGACTTGCATGGTATTATAGTTCATTGCTTTATCATTTCCAAGTAGAATTCCTTTAGTAGCTGCTATGTGTAGATACAATAGAGTGATTTAACAATGGTTCCTTTGAATTTCGTAATTCTTCACATTTTTTCACTTAAGGTTGTTTTACATTAATCTGAAATTTTCTCTCAGATATAACCTTAAGAAAAAGACTTTTCTGTAGAAATGAGCAAATTGAAAATATTATTAAACAAATTTTCCAAACTGCTTTACCTGCGCCAAAGTTATTCAAAACGATCACAACAAAATCTAAATCATACAAGGAATGTCATTTATTATATGGCACTTCTTGTGTAAGTAAAACAAACATGACTTGGCTCACAGTGAGTCTTATAGGAAGCAGAACTTTTAAGGGAATATGTTTTATCAGCTATTTTGATAATAACTAGAAACCAAATGTTTAGTAGAAATAGAAAAAAATAACATTTATTTCTACACTATCAAATCCATTCTGTACATATGCCACATTAAGTGGCCAGTCCTGCATCCCTGTATATCCAAACCCTTGCTAAACATAATGGGAGTTATAAGAGTGCAAAGAACACAGAATATGGTACTACATGCAGCCATCTGATACAAAATGGGCACATCTACACATGAAATTAATGCACAGTAAGGTTATTGTGCAGTAAAATAAAGTGCAGGAATGTGGCCAGGAACACATCTACACGTGAGCCCTGCTGAGCACAGATTTCCACCCAACAGAAGCATCTCCGGTCCAGGGTTGCTCTTGCCCTGCTCTGCCCCTCTGCAGCAGCCAAGGGGAGCTCCAGAAGGCCCTGGGTGCCAGCCCAGGGGCTGGCAGGGGGTGCAGGGGTGGTCCCAGTGGACACAGGGCTGGGAGAGCTGTGCCGGCTGAAGGGGCAGCTGTCTCCTGGACCCATCCCAATGTGCAAGAGACAGCAGCCCTTGCAGCTGGCAGAGCTCCCCCTTAATTAGATTACTCTAATGCATAGTAAAGCATCTTGTGTAGATGCACCCAATGATTCTTTACAAGTAGGTGCAAAGTACGGGAAGAGTAAATCCTCTCTTAACTAAGCATAACTATGACTCCATCATTTATTTTCTGCAACCTAACTACATACCTCAATGTCATTCTAATCAATAGCAAAATGTGTCATTCTCCTTTCTGTTGTTCTACCAGGCATTGTTACAAATAGTAACCCTGAAGTGATGTCAACAAACATTTTGCTTTCTAGATCAAGTTCACATCTCAGCAGTTCCGCCAATACAAGAGCTTCTCAGAGCTAAGTACAATACCAGTATAACTGCAGAGATCATCAATAAAATATACCATATTTACTTGATTTAAAGACTATGGGTTTTTTCCTTCCATTTATCGTAGGAGAGGCCCTTGTCTTCGAATTGAGAATGAAGTGGCAGGGGATAGGCAGCTACTGCACTTCTAGCTCTAGCCGTAACCTTGGCCTGGGGCCAGAACCACAGATGCCACCTGCCCCCCTGCCACCTTTGTACCCCTGCCACTCCTCTCCTGAAGCCTCGACCCCTGCTGCACCAAGTCTCCCCACTGTGCCATGTCTCCTTCCCACCCTCCCCCCTCCCACCTCTACAGCATTCCCCCTTACCTTTGCTCCAGTGCCAGCAGACTCCATTCTTGCTGCAACCTGGAGCAGGGCCCCAGCCCAGCCCTGTAGCAGCAGTGCCAGCTCTGTGCCAGTGCTATGGGACCAGGCTGGAGCCATGCTTATTGCCCCAGGCTGCAGTGGGCACAGACCCTGTTGGAGCCATAGCAAATTTAAGGGGGGTGGAGAAGTCAGAAAGGGGTAGAGACTTGGTGGGGGGAGGCAAGAGGGAAATGGAGGGTGGGTACCCAAGGCTACAGGAAGCAGAAGCTGCAAGGAACAGGGAAGGGGAGGAGGAGAAGGGATCTGAAGCTGTGAGGGGTAGACCCAAATGGGGGTAAATGGGGGGAGGGAGGAACAAGTGGCAGGGGACAAAATGCATGCCTCTCCCACCACCTCCACACTGCCTGCCTCCCTACTGCCTGCTCCCTCCACCACCTGTCCCCTATTACCCACCCCCTGCCTGCACCCCTATTGGCCCACATCACCTTGCCACTGCCTGTCCCATTATTGTCCCCCACTACCTGTCCTACCATGTTTCCCCCCACTACCTATCCCCCTACCACCTGCCCCATTACTGACCCCCTCATCATCTGTCCCTTACAGTAGTGGGGGGGATGAATTCAAGGTAATCCTCCAATAATTAGATTCAATAGATGGAAAGTGTTAATAAACATAAACATTTTTCCATGTGTAGAATCTAATTACTGGGGGGATAGTCTTAAATTCAGAGGCATCTTGGATTTGGGGTAAATACAGTAAGTTACATTTTCATGCTGTTTCATGTTTAAAAACTGAGGAAGAGAAAAAAATTATAAATGTGAATACCAGACAAGTTCTATTCAAACATGATTACAAGTATTAT